CTAACATCCATGCTAATCCTCCTCCTTTTTTTCCCCAAAGCCCCAGTAGATAGTTGTATGTCATAGTTGCACATCCTTCTAGTTGCTGTATGTGGGATGTGGCCTCAGCATGGCCAGAGAAGTGGTGCATCGGTGCATGCCTGGGATCCGAACCCGGGGCCGCCAGTAGTGGAACGCGCACACTTAACCGCTAAGCCATGGGGTCGGCCCTGTAAGTGGGAGCCTAAACTGCACTCTTTAAGAAGGCAACTTAGTAGTACCTATCAAAATGTAAAATGTACACATCCTTTGACCCAGCAATTCCTTCTCTCAAAATCTATCTTACAGAAATACTTGAATACGTGAGCAAGGTTTTATGTAGCATTACTTGTAACAGTGAATGATTGGAGACAAATTTCCATCAATAAGTGAATCATTAAATTGTGATACAACCATACCATACTATAAAATGTTATGCCACTATTTTTTAAAATGAGGTAAATGTCCATGTACTAATATGAGAAGTCCACAATACATTGCAAAGTGAAAAAATTAAATCGCAAAATAGTACATATAACAGCCCATTTTGTTTCTTAAAAAACTATATACAAGGGCCAGCCCCGTGGCTTAGCGGTTAAGTGCATGCGTTCCGCTACTGGTGGCCCGGGTTAGGATCCCGGGCACCCACCGACGCACCACTTCTCCGGCCATGCTGAGGCCGCGTCCCACATACAGCAACTAGAAGGATGTGCAACTATGACATACAACTATCTACTGGGGCTTTAGGGGGGGAAAAAAAAAAGGAGGAGGATTGGTAATAGATGTTAGCTCAAGAGCCGGTCTTCCTCAGCAAAAAGAGGAGGATTAGCATGGATGTTAGCTCAGGGCTGATCTTCCTCACAAAAACAAAAAAAAAAAACACAGAAAAAAAACCTATATTCAAGTGTGTGAGTGTTCATACATATATATGTGTGTATGAATATATGTATATTCATATATGCATATATGTATATAGTCATATACATATATTTGTGCATAGAAAAAGGTCTGGGAAGACACCCAGTTAAGTTATTCTTGGAGAATGGGAGTAGGGAGAGGGAACAAGAAGAAATCTTTCACTTTTTACACATTTATATTTTGTCAACTACCATTACTTTTGAATTTTTATCACCACAATGAAACATTTTAACAAAATAGGCACTTTTGTAATCAGAACAATCAACAAAATTATAATTTATATATTTCAAATAAGAATAATTCCATATAGGTATTTCATTTACAATTTTCAGCTACAAGACCTAAGGTAAAATTAGGACAACCGTAAATCAAATCACCATCGAGTTTCAATGGGGTACTCATGACTTGATACAACAGGATGTGGGCAAACAAAACCTAATCAGGATAAGTGAACAGCCATTCATTTCTGGGAGAGAAAACTAAACACACTATAGCAAACTCTATCATATGGGAAAAACTGTGCTTTCACCTTTTTGATGGCATCACCTCCAGGGTTTACTCAACTCCTTGGCAAAGGGTGGAAATCATAAAAATTAGAGATTTAAGATACCTCAGATATCATTTAGCCAAATCCCCTCATTTTATAGTTGAGAAAACAGGCCCAGAGTAGCAAAGCAATTTGCCTAAGGTGCCAAAGCCAGCTAATAGCATAGCCAGCTCCAGAACCCAGGTTTCTATTCCAGGCCTAGTACTCTTTCTACTTTTCAGATCCTCCTGCGTCTTCATTCCGATGATATATTAGGAAATATTTTTTTAAGTCTTATGAATATTAGACACCTCTATATTTAAATTTTAGAAAAATGCATAACAAAATAAAAATGTATATCCCTATATACCTCCATTAGTACAGATGATCAAAAGTTGACTGTATTTGGATAAAAGGTATTATTGGTATAATAATATAACATTTTCTTGAAAAGTAATGCATAAATTTCTGTGGATCTAACTGTATTTTACTGTTCACTTAAGAACTGTTTTATCTGGGCCGGCCCTGTGGCTTGGTGGTTAAGTGCGCGCACTGCGATGCTGGTGGCCCGGGTTTGGATCCCGGGTGCGCATCGAGGCACCACTTCTCCGTTCATCCTGAGGCCGAGTCCCGCATACAGCAACTAGAAGGATGTGCAGCTACGACATACAACTATCCACTGGGGCTTTGGGGGGAAAAAATAAAATAAATAAAATTAAAAAAAAAAAAAAGAACTGTTTTATCTAATATCTGGTTGATCTTCAATTGGCAATGCCTCTTAATCCTTCACCTTCAGTTTCTCTATATCAAGTAGTTGATGATCTATATACAAACACTTAAAACCACCATAGGAAGCACCTATTTAAAGGAAGCCTGCAGAGATTTAAAGAATCCCTTTGTAATGTTAATAATTAGCCCAGTTTGTTTGTAAGGAATAAGTTTTCTGTTCTCAAAGCATAGATAGATAGATAGATAGATAGATAGATAGATAGATAGATAGACAGACAGACAGACAGACAGACAGAGACAGACAGAGACAAATAGGCAGGCAGACAGGAGAGAAAATAAAGTTAAAATAGGGAACAATTATTTTTTTGTACAAGCAAGGCAAAAAAAAAAGAAAGATAAGAGGAATGAGGGGTGGTGGGTAGTTGGAGAGTGGCAGAGAAGCTCAATTAGTCACAAAGTGTTTATATGTTAAAAGTAAACTTGAATAGTACGATGTATAAATGAACTAACAACCACCTAACCTTCAGGCTATAATTAAAGTAGTATCCTGTTTTAGACTCTATGACTTAGAGACATGTGAGGACCTTAGAGAGATTTCAGAATAATAAAGATAAAAGGGTTAAAAAATGAGCCAAGTGAGGATAAATTAGAACTGTTATTGTGTCTAAGAAGAGAAGATCAGGGGTGACTCAACAGTCCTCAAGGATATGAAGAAATACCCACTTCAGTGAGCAGCTGGTCTACATTTTCACAGCAGAAAGTAATTTTATTTAAATTATTACAGCATATATTTGAAGATACAAGTGTTTCACCTAGGATATCTCATCAAACAAATACTCCAGAGAAGCCCGTATGCTGTCCACCTCTCCTACCCTTTACTAGCTCAACTACTCATCTCAAAGAATGGGTCAAAGGGTAGATAAAGCATCTTTGGAATGTGAAGATTCAGACTTCTTTTGGGTCTAGCTACTATGATCAAAATATTTTATTAGCCTCTGTCCCCCAGGTCCCAGTGTAAGGTTTAGCTGCTTCTGTGCTATGGATAAAGGGATTAATTAGTAGTAAACATCTAGATGCATGCACAAACTTGAATTCCTTATAAAAGTATGCTTCTTCTCAGTGTTGATGGTTAAGAGGGCTTGGATTCAGGGTTCTTTCGGGATCCAATTACTGTGCTAAAATGGCCCATTTGACTCCAAAGAGAGGGAATTTGCCTAACCTGATAGTAAAAAAAAAGACTGGACAACTAACCAGATGTGCCAGGACCTCTTATTTTGTCTCTAGCGTTTTCTTGTCTTGGACAGACATCTGAACTAAAGTATAAGAAGCATAAGGTCAGGGCAGCCCCGTGGCGTAGCAGTTAAGTGTGCATGCTCTGCTGCTGGCGGCCCGGGTTCGGATCCCGGGCGTGCACCTACGCACTGCTCATCAAGCTGTGGTGGCGTCCCATATAAAGTGGAATAAGATGGGCACGGATGTTAGCCCAGGGCCAGTCTTCCTCAGCAAAAAGAGGAGGATTGGCACATATGTTAGCTCAGGGCTGATCTTCCTCATAAAAAAAAAAAAAGAAGTGTAAGGTCTCTGAAGAAAGAGAATGTAATCATATTTTATTTGTACCAGGACCACCCCACCCCATCCCCAGCCCAGCTTTTATCATAAGGCTGGGCACACAGAAGGCTATTAATTAGTACTTGTTAAATGAATGTCATCTGTCCAAAATGTTAATATTTTATCTTATAGCTGCTTTTTCTAGTTATTCTCTAATTCATTTTCCAACACTGCTGCCTTTGAAGATTGCATTTCTCTTGTTACTCTTCCTTTTTCCTATCTCACAGAAACATCTATTCTTCCCTATCCCCTCAGATATCTTCAGTCATCTAATTCCTGAACTACCAACACCTCTTAACTTCCTCCATTCAGGCCCCATTCTTCTACTTAGAACCAAGTATCAATGTAAAGTCACCTTAACTCATGTTTTGACCACATCACTTTCTAGACCTTCTTTCCATGCTCAACCACATGATTAAATCTAGCTTTGACTTCTCAAATGACAAGACTCCTACCTCCTCTCATTCCAAACTTTTCCCAAAACCCACTTTGTGTAGGAAGCCATTTCAGAACATCTTGGTCAGATGAAAATATCCATTCATCAAAAGTTCTCAGAGTTTACTCATCTTTCTGCCTGCATCAAATCTATTTGAATGGGGAAAAAAGTCTCAATTGAGGTAAAAAGCCTATGAAAGAAATACTGTTGGTGCTGGCCTGGGGGTGTAGTGGTTAAGTGTGCGCGCTCCACTTTGGCAGCCCAGGGTTCGCAGGTTCGGATCCTGGGCACGCACCAACCCACTGCTTGGAAAGCCATGCTGTGGCGGCGTCCAATATAAAGTAGAGGAAGATGGGCACGGATGTTAGCCCAGGACCAATCTTCCTCAGCAAAAAAGAGGAGGACTGGCATCAGGTGTTAGCTCAGGGGCTAATCTTCCTCACAAAAAAAAAAAAAAAAGAAATAGTGTTTGTAGGTGCTATGTGAGTGTGTTGAAGGATAAGCACATGCACACACGATTATGTACACATATAGCATATGCATATACATACATACATACACACACACATGCTATAAATATATCCTTCCCAAATTAGCACAAACCCACAAGCTTAAAAACTAAATCTGACCCAAACCCCAGGTACTGAGCTCTATGGCTACTTCCTACAAGCAGATGCATTACCTCTGTGACAAAGTCAATTGTGAGCTGCAAGAAAGATAGGTAAATATCACTACAGGCAGCTAGGATTCTGCTTTTTTTGTTTTAAATTTAAATGCAAAACTTACTTATTACCTCAGGACACTGACCATGTTGTATGATTTCTGCACAATACCCAGAATATCTTAGACGCTAAAAAATACTAAATTTACAACTTAAGCAGGAAAACAGAGGCTTGCTTCACAGTGGTTTAATATGAACAGAGTTGAATATGACATTGTCTGACAGAAGAATGAATAGTTTGCTGAATAAAAGCCCCGAGTCAGGATATATACACAGCAGAAATGGGGCCTCAGGCTCTCAGCATTTGTGCACACTGAAAGAGGGAATCTTTAAAAAAAACAAGTCAATAACAGAGGATACAAATCAAAAAGGCAGCAACAATACCAACATTGGGGAGGTGGGGAAGGGAGCAGAGCCTCTCTCTAGGGGCTGCTCAGCCCCTGGCACAGGCCTAGCAGCTGGAGAGCTGATCTGTCTCAGGGAACTTCAACATTTAGATGGACTCCAAATCCCATGTCAAAATCCAATCCTAATCTCTCCGATCAGGGTCTTATCAGAATCAGTAATCCTTTTCCCCAAGATCCTGTATAGAGAACTCCAATCCTTCCATGATAGGCAAAGAGCCCCCCACTTTTGACCTGAAACCAGAGTTAACTTGCTCCCATCCCACCACCTGGGATAGATCTCAGGGCCCAGCAAACAAACCACTACCTCCCAGACAGAAGCCCAGGAAAATTGCCAGCCTCAAGAAGCTGCTTCAGACTCTAAGATTTGGAAAATCCATACCCAGCTGCTATCCCTAGCTCAACTTCTGGGGAGAAGGCTGGAGTTCCATGGGAAACAAGTGCAGGCAGTTCAAAAACCCTGTGACCAAGCTAGGAAGGGCAGCGACAACTCTTGCCTCCGAGCCCCATTCAACAGCTCAAAGTGCTTAGGAGAAGTCAGAGACTGTGTGGTTCATTCATGTGCTTCTGCCCCGTGGCAGCACTAAATGGGATGGGGGAAAGGGAGAATGGAAGGAAGCTAGTGGTGATGCCCTTCCCTACCACTGAGAGGTACTTAGAAAATGATCCACTCCCACCCTTCAGGGAGCTACCTGGCAGTGGTGAGCTGCCCCCACCCCCTCAAACCACCAAACCTGCAAAGCTAACTCATAAAGTAGCAAGGGCTTGGGGAGGGAGAACTGCTGGCCCATACTAACTCACCTGCTGGTGAGCAAGAACAGACAGTCAGAGTGGGGAGCCACAAAGGAGAGGGGCTAGGCAACAGGAGCTCCCCTAGTGTCCTATGGCTTTCTTCTGACTCTGAAGCAGCCATGATGATGGGCCCAGAAAACCCACACACCTTGCTCCACACAACAGACTGCTTAGAGTCTAGGAGGATTACTGCCATGAAAAGCAACAAGGGAGAAAGTAACAAAAGAAACTGGAAAAAACTGGGAGCAGGCTTAGAGAAAACAAGGAGAGCTTTTGGGTCTCTATCACCTTCCCAAAAAGGAGAAAAATCATGCAAGAAGGAAAGGCAGGGTTTTTCCCTGCTCAGCATTCTTGGTTAAACCTAAGAGTAAGAAAAATCCCCTGGACTTGCAGCATCAGTATGTATCCAAGTGCCTCATCAGCACAAGACCCGCCCCCTCCCCAAGGTTAGCCTTCTGGCATGGGTAAATACCCAAGAAATTGCCTTCCACTCCAATCCCTCCACCCAACCCCCAACCCCAAGCAAAGGGCATCTGCCTGTGGTTTCACATCTCTCCTCACAGAAGAGGATCCTAGCAGAGTGCCCACGGTGTAGTCAGGTACCAAAGAACACAATGCCAGACAGTCTATCAGGCCAGGGGATGGGGAGCTAACTTCAGATCAAAGAGAGAGAGAGGCTTAGTGTAAAAATCAATGTCATTTCAGCAGGAAGGTAGAGGGCAAGTGGTGAGAGGGGCTCCTACTGGCGCACCTTCCCGGGGACGTAGTTCCTGTCAATTGCCTCCTCCTGCAGGAACATGTGTAGGCAGCGTTCGTTCTGAGCCAGTGGATGCCCAGCAATTCTATAAAGAGACCAAGATGGTTATCAGTAGTATTTGGGATTAGAGAGAATTTGCAGAGGGATGGGGGTGTGGACAGGGGAGGAAGAGCAAGGTCAGCCCTGAGGTTCAAGCAAGTAGAGGAAGCAGCAGGGTACCACTTCAACCCTAATATTGTAGAGGAGAAGGAGGATAGAGGGGTAGGGAGGGGGAAATCCCTAGACACATCCAACATGCAGTGCTTTCTCAGGCCCTTAGGTACAGGATCAGAATTCTGCTCAAAAGAATGGAGTTTTACTTCCAGTCAGCCCACCACACAATCGGCACCACATCCTATTACCCATTACAAAAGAGGAGACATGAAACATACAGAAAGAGCATGATGGCAAAAGTAGCAAGAGGAGCCGCCAGGACCTTGGCTTACTTGTTAATAAACTGTTCGAGGCCCTGCCTCCTCTCTTCAATGAAGGACTCCTCAAAGATCCCTTCATCTCCTCGAAAAGGGAGCTGCCGCTTCAAGGCTTTCCCAGGCAGTGGTGGTACTACAATCTGCAGGAAGATGCAAAATATCAGCCACATGGGAGAGGACAGAGAGGGAATGAGATGATAAGCACTGTATATCTCATTTTCTATTAGGCATAGGGTCCATCCTATCCCACAGCCAGCAACTTGCAAGAACTGAGACCGTAAGAACAAGTCAGGATGGCTCAGGTCAAAAATTAATCCAACTCTGTTTTTGTAGGACAGGTTTACTATCTCAAAAGAAAGGACATAAACTCCAAATATTCCTCACTTTCTTTAACAATCCACTACCATCCAAGAATTTAGCTAGGCCTTTCCTAACACTGTACTTTCCACTTTTAGCACTTAGAGGAGTTAAGTTGTATGACTTTACTAGCCACTAGTCAAGTAATACTTTTTCTTTAAAATTTGTCCTAAACTTACCACTTGCAAGTTTCAAAGGCTATCACCCAGATCAACATATTGGGATTTGGTAGATAGTATGTTCACCCTCTCCATTGTTCTCAAGATTTTATAGACTGTGATCTTAAGCACTCTCAGTCTATGTAGACCTCCTCCTCCAAGGCCGCCAGACAGGGAACGATGCCATACCTTACTATCTCGCTCCAGCTCATTTTTTAGCCACTCAAAGTCACTGTAGCGTCGTCGTACACAGGACTCCTTCAGCTTGAAGATAGGTAGGTTTGTCTACAGGGAAGAAAGAATGGAAGAAAAGAGATGGTGAGTAATGTTCAGCCTGTGGTGGCCACTTGTCAGAACCACTTGGACAGTCCCAATGAAGAAACAGCTCCTATGGACTATGCTCCTATAACTCTTTCAAAACACCACCAGGTGAATACCAGTCCTTCCCACATCCATCCCTGTCACAGTTGGTGATAAGAAGTCCCTTGCTGCTTAGAATTTATCCTACAAATAGACTTAAGGTTGTATGCAAATATGTACGTACAAGGGTTTTCACTGCATTTTATTATTTGTGATAATAAAATCAAGATGCAGTACAGTATATATAGCTTGCCTCTACTTGTGTTTTAAAAAGGGACATGTATATATGTATATATTTACACTTATGAACAAAATACTTATGAAAAGATACTGGTAACAGTGACTGACTTTGGAGAATAAGATTAGGCAACTGGAATGGGTGGGAGAATCATATTTTTCATTGTACAATTTGAATTTATCATGTGCATGTATTACATTTTCAATTGAAAAGTGAATTTAAGTTCGCTGTAAAGAACAGGAGATAAGCACCTCCAAGGTATGTCTTCCTCTGCTTTTCCTGTCCAAATCTTCTTCACTCTACAAGTCCCAGCTCAAGTCCCACTTCATCCAGGAAATCTTTCCTGACAACACCAGCTTGATTTATTGGTCTTCCTCTGCTCTGAACACCTATGACACTTATATTTTAGTACTGCCTGACACATTATTGTTTTATGCATCATGTTAGTCTTGCTACCTAACTAAACTATAAATTCACTGAAATCAGGAGCTATGACTACTTCTGCATCTCCCTAAATGCAGACTATACAAGTTACTCAATAAAGACTCAATTGATTATAGAGGCCCTATGTATCTGTTTACCCTCTCCTTATTTAGAAAGTGCAGCAGAAACAGCAATTACATTAAGTTGGCTTACCATAGCTTGCTCCCTGATATAAATCAGCTTATTCCCACATCTTAATCATTGAGAATTTTCCCAAGGCTCTAATGGCAACGTGAGCCCCAGAGAAACAAAAAGCCCTGATCCTCACTCCTGTCTACAAGTTCTAAGTAGAAATGGCCAACCACATGTATTAATACTGACTATATTTCCTACCAGCCAACTCAGATCAGCAGATGGAAATAAAAGGAACTACTTTCTCTCCTTTTTCCACAACTGCCTCAGGGTGGGAAAAGAGCATCTTGGAGCCATGCTATAGTTTCCCACAGCACTGACTACATCATGCTTTATAGTCCTCAAGACTGGAAATTGTCTTTTCAGGATCCAGTTCTAGGTATAGGTCATCAAAAGCCAAATAACTGGCCAACTTACATTAGTTACAACTCTACTCAGGATCGAGGTCCAAGGAATGTCAATGGGTTGAAGTGGAGTGAGATACGTACATGTGAAGTAATATTTTATCACCTAAACTATCCTTTAGAAGAATAAGAAACTGGAAACAGTGGTTTCTTCGGAAAGGGAACCTCTGGAAGGCAGAGGGAGGGAGGGAGACAGTTTTTACAGTATATCTTTTTTAGTACCTTTTGAATTTTGTACCATGTGCATGTATCAACTATTCAAAATAAATCGTTATAGAGAACATTCTCAGAATTCTGCAAGAAATACATATATATATCAAATCATCACATTGTACACCTTGAACTTACACTTACATGATGTTATATGTCAATTATATCTCAATAAAGCTGAGGGAAAAAAATAATCCCGCAAGAAAAAAAAGCCCTTCAGTGTCAGGTTTTCAGATTCTAGGTTTTCACTCGAGTTCATTACAAATACTGTGATCTCCAAACAGTAGAACCTTAACTAGTAGGTTTTTACAGAAGCCAACAGAAGGACCAAAGAAAAGAAAAAAATGCTGAGTAGATTCTTCCAAGACACAGAGACACCACCCACTGCCATTTTGTGGACTTCCTCCTTTGACTCACAAAAATGCTATTCTTTCCCTACCCCCACAGAATGGTGACAATAATGGCCTTTCATCTCAACACCCAGCCATCTAAGGAAGGGGCTACTATGTACTAGGATAGTCTCCCAGCTCCAACCTACAAATCATACGAGGAAGACAGGACTGTGTAGTACAGGATATAGAGAGTCCTCTGGCTCTGGTCAACACAAAGTCAAGGGAAAGGAGAGAAAGAAGCAAAGTTCAAGTCCACAGGACAAATGACATTTGAAAAATTCCATACACATCACGTGAAGTCACCAGGACACCTCTCCAGACTCCTCATTTCTTGAGGGGGTGGGGGGGGATTCTTTCCTGAACAAAATGAAAGGGAACAGCTTCAGAAATATTTAGCTATTATACAAAGAAAAAAAGTCAGTGCCATCTGCTTCTACCATACCCAATACCTAACTCTCAAAGCCCATTCTCTGAGTCTCATGCTCCCTGTAACGCCTACATCGATCAAACACTTAAAATAGCAATTTAAAACCAAATGATTGGGCCGGCCCCGTGGCTTAGCGGTTACGTGCATGCGCTCCGCTGCTGGCGGCCCGGGTTCGGATCCCGGGCATGCACCGACGCACCGCTTCTCCGGCCATGCTGAGGTCGTGTCCCACGTACAGCAACTAGAAGGATGTGCAGCTATGACGTACAACTATCTACTGGGGCTTTGGGGAGAAAAATAAATAAATAAAATTATTAAAAAAATCAAGTGATTTTACAATTTTTCCCCAAAACAGAGTTCAATAAAAACATTAAAAGCCTATATAGCCATACAAATTAACATAAACAATACAAACTAACTCAAACTTGCGGAACTAGGAACTGCCATCAACCCTATCATCACCATACAATTAGAAATTGTGGAAAAGACGGATGAAAAGCTTAGTGGGTAGACAAATTTTGCACACTAAAGTTTTGCAACTAAGCATTGCCAAAGAGGCAGAAGTGTAGTGGAAAGATTGTGATGGGCTTTGGGGGTCAGACAGACCTGGGTTCAAACGCCAGCCCTGCCACTTATTATCTACGTGTACTTGGGCAAGTTACTTAAACTGCATTCCTCCTCAGTTTCCTACCTGCAAAATGGTGTTTTCGTAAGGATTTAGAAACTAAAACCTAGTTCAGTGCCTGGCACATTGTAGGCACTAGATGAACAGTCTCTGTTGTTATTAGAATGCCTGAAGTAGAGAGCTATTTCATCCATAATCCCTAAGGTTCTTGGGTAATGCATCAAGACAATGTCTCCAAACCCCACAGCAGAGAGTCCTTATACTGAACAAGGTATGCCCAGGCTTCCTCAGGTAAAGTTCTCTACCACGAACAGTTTCCAGCTTTTATCATATTTTGAAGGATCTAATTTCTATTCTTCCCCAAAGAGATGAGTTCAAATAGTTCTTTTTTCTTTTTTTGTGAGGAGGACCAGCCCTGAGCTAACATCCAATGCCAATCCTCCTCTTTTTTTTTTTGCTGAGGAAGACTGGCCCCGGGCTAACATCCATGCCCATCTTCCTCTCCTTTATATGGGACGCCACCACAGCATGGCTTAACAAGAGGTGCATCGGTGCGTGCCGGGGATCAGAACCGGTGAACCCTGGGCCACCACAGCAGAGCGCGCGCACTTAACCACTTGCACCACAGGGCCGGCCCCCAAATAGTTCTTATATAGACGAGTTTTTCTCATTTTTTGCTATTCGCTTTTCTTTCTTCAGTTTGGACTTGGCCTAACTTGGAATTTGGAAATCATCATTTCTCAATCGGATTTCAAAGCCCAGGTAGGAGAGCACAATCTCTCATTTATTTCATTCATTCATTCAAAACTGAAAGCACATACACTCTTTTACGTCTTCAAATGCTATCTGAGCAGCATGCTGTGCATAGAGAATATTCTGGCCTTGTAGTCTGAGAAGAAAACATAAGGAAAATTACAAAATGGTTCTCAAACTTTTTTGCCTATAACCACTTCAACTGGGCAAAAGAACCTGCAAACTGTGTACTCTATTCTGCACATTCCATCCTTGCACTGTGGACTAAGAACTAGAGAATAAAGTCCTCTGCAGTGCACACTGGCAGAAGCCACTCCTGGGGCAGTCCTGAAATGTCATCTATTAAAGTAACTACAGACCAGGGTCTGAATCCAGAAGGTTAATCTAGGACAGAAATGAGAGCCAATAAATATTAAAATCAACATTCTGGATACTTCAAATCTAAAAGATCAGCACGGAAAGCAGAGCAGCTACTGACAATCCCCCAATCCCAGTGCAAGGCCAGGTTTCACAGAGAGACACAGCATGTGGTACCTGAGAAAACTTAAGCATAAAATACTTCTCTCCTTCAGATGCTAATTCTACTCAAGTCCGGGAAGCACTCGGTTTCAAGGAGACTCCCTTTCTTCTGCTCCACCAAGCCCACTGCCTCCCTTTTCTGGAGTCTATTTTCCCTTTAATCCAGGCTTTGTTTAACTCCATCATCCCAGGGAGACTGCATTAGGAAGAAGCCGGGTCTTCCTGCTGTCCCTCTTCAGACTGACTTCCCACAACATAGTTTAGTTATGGGACCCAGTGATATATCGCCGTGGCTTTCCATCCCCCAGCCCTCTTCCACTCTTCCTTCTTTCCTTCTGTCGCTACAGTCATGATTTCTATTTCCTTGATTCTTCACTCTGATCTCCATCCTCCTCACCCCATCCAGCCATGCTTCGCTTCTTGCTCCTGGGTACTTGTTTTCCCTCACCCCAGTCCGATGTCCCCCTCAGGAGTTTTCTGTACCCTCGGGCCACAACCGAGTCTGCAGACGTCTCTCCAAATCTATTAAGCTCTACTAACCCCCAAATGACCCCTTCAAGCTTCTTCTCCACCGTTAGTCGTCCCTATGGCAGCCTCCCCCACCCCGCCCAGCCGCCCGGTCCTCCCTCAGCTGTCTCCCTCACCCCGTGACTCACCCGCATGCGAACCTCATAGGTGGTGAAGCGCGCGCGGCCCACGCCCACCGTCTGTGGATTAAAGATGTCGATCTCCAAGAAGTTACTTGGCGGCCCATAAGCGTCGGTCAGGTCCTGCGGCTTCGAGTTAAGGCGCCGAGTGTCAGCTACTGCCGTGTCCGACATCTTTCCGAAGGAGAGACCGGGACCAGGGAAAGGGGGTAAGGGACAGAGGCCGGAGGGAGGAGCGCGCACGGCCCCTCCCGCTTGCAAAGTAACCAGCCAACCCACAGACAGCGGCGCCGCGCACGCGCGCCCACGCACGCACGTACGCACGCACGCGCACGTTGCCCCGGCCCCGGGCCCGGCACCCTGAATAGCGGCCAAGCTGGCGGTTGTCTGTGCTGTACAGAGGACGCCTCATTCAGGCTTCCGGGTGGTGTTTGCGGCTGCCCCGGAACCTGCATTTCCAACACGCACCACCCAATATCCTGGGAAGCTCTCCAGGCGCTATGCGCCAATCGCTGCTCCTCAACCCAAGAAATTGTCTTATATACCGTGTATCAGTCAGCAGTGGGCACTGCCCCGCAAAGTAGGATCCTACAGTGATCGGCCAAAGTCCCGTGACCTCAATAAGTCAGGGTTTTGCGCAAAAATAGAAGGATGGTCTCCGGAGGGTGGGGTTCCAACAACAGTACTAAGAACCCAGAACGAAGCCTCGCCACTTGTGCCACTGATAGTTTCCATTCATTCCACGCGCCATTGAGCACTCAATGAGCACTATCTACGGTGCCAGGAAAGCAGCGAGGATGGGGTAAACAAAGATGATTTCTCATTCTCACTTTTCAGGAAAATTTGGGCATATCTTCATCCTCCACTTGTTGCCACATAAAAGCTAACTCCAGGTGTACTCAGGTATTACATTTCTCAGCAAATTGAGGGCATTTATTTCATACCTTCTATCTCTACTCTGCAGAGCTCCATACTTGGCACTGCTCTGAGGTTGCTTGCAGCCCACAATAGAGATAGAATACATGTCTACATGAGAATATCTATAGAAATATGTATTAATATTTATATGACTAATTTACTCATCGCCCACTTGAAGGGGTAGTGCCCCACATTAGGGGTGGTGATTTTAGGTCATCCTTTCTCTTTTCTGCACCTGCCCTCATCTGCTCAAAAAAATTTCCCGTGTCACTGATGCCTGAAATTCCTTCAACAGAGTACAAGGCCCTATAATTTCACAATTAAGTTATCTAATTCAATTTAACTGATATCTTCTAAGCAACTACTTATGTGCCAGGGACCATGCTAAACACTAAAGACCTAGAGTTGAATAAGTGAGTTCCTGCCCTCAAGGAGTTAACATTCTAGAAAGGGAGACAACTAAATAAAACTGATATAATGTGACAAATACAAAATAAGCGAATGTTCAAAGCAGCACACAGGACATGAATAACTGGAGGAATTAGGGAAGCCTTCCTGGAGGAGGAAACATCTGAGATTGACAGACATGAAAAGATGTAAAGGACAAATAGAAGTGGAAACGGGGAAAGGTAATTTCTTGCAGAGAGAATAGCATGTGCAATGTCATTCCGATAAGAAACAGCATGATATTTTTAGGCAATTATCACCACTTTGGATTGTGTAATGGAAGTGCTTAGAGAGGTAGGCTGGCTGGGGACGGGCAGCTGAGGGTTATACTTCTATATTAAGCAAATGATCTCTGGCTTTATGATGTAAGCGATAGGGAGCCACTGAAGGACCTTCAACAGGAAAAAGACATGATCAGATTTGTGTTTTAAAAGGATTATTTTGCAGGCAACATGGAAGATGTATTTGAGTTGAATGTGACTAATTATGAGAGTATCGACAATAAGACTTGGAATCTGGTGGTGATGGTGGGAATGGAGAAAAGCGAGGAGATAGGACTGAGATTGAGGAAATAAAATAGATAGGACTTGTATCTGATTAGATGCGATGGTAGTATAGTATAGGGCTTAAGCATGTGAGCTATGGACTTAAGCTATCTGGGTTGAAATCCCTGCTTCCTAGCTATATAACCTTGAGCAAGTTATCCAAACAGTGTTCATCTGTAAAATGGAAATGATAAGACTAAAAGCTACCTGTGGGGCTTTTGTGAGAATTAAATAAAATACATGCAAACAATAAGTGACCAGTAACTATTCACTATTACTACAATTTGAGGGGAGAGGGACGAAACTGAAAATGACTCCTAGGTTTCTGATCTAGGTAACTAGGTGGATCCTGGTACCACAAATCAAAACTGGAATTACAGAAAGAAGAGTAAGTTTGGGAGGGAAGACAATGAGTTCAGTTTAGATAAATCTGGGGTGTCTGTAGGACATCCACGTGGAGATGTCTAGCAGGCAGCTGGAAATACTGGCCTGGAGCTCAAGGGTGTGATCAGGGTTAGAGAGAGAGATTTGGGAGTCATCAGCATACAGTGTAGAAAGAAAAATGTGAAGAGGCAAGGACAGAAGATTTAAAATTTGGTGAAGGCGTGCAGTATTGATGAGAGTGTAAATCCATACAATCTTTCTGGGAGGCAAATTGGTGGCATATGTTTAAAAACCCATTCACCTCAAGAAACTTGTAATACTGCTTGTCTCTGGAGAGCAGAGCTGGAGAACAGGAGTCAGGGATGGCAGGGAGAGTTGTTTTTCATTTTCATTTCATTTATGTCTAAGTACTTTTGTATTTTTAAAAAATTTTTAATGTTATTTACCAACTTTTGACTCGAAAATTTCCCTTCCAATAATTTATCCTGAGAAAATAATCAGATAATTACATAAAGATACCAGTATACCGATCTTGTCTTTTTTTTTTTTTTTTTTGTGAGGAAGATCAGCCCTGAGCTAACATCCATGCTAATCCTCCTCTTTTTGCTGAGGAAGACCAGCTCTGAGCTAACATCTATTGCCAATCCTCCTCCTTTTTTTTTTCCCCAAAGCCCCAGTAGATAGTTGTATGTCATAGTTGCACATCCTTCTAGTTGCTGTATGTGGGACGCGACTTCAGCAAGGCCAGACAAGCGGTGCGTCGGTGCACACCCGGGATCCAAACCCCGGGCAGCCAGTAGTGGAGCACACGCACTTAACCGCTAAGCCACAGGGCCGGCCCAGGATCTTATCTTTAAGAGCAAATAATTGTACATTTTATGCAATGGAATATTTGTAGCCATTTTTTTCTAATTTGTGAATTTGTTTATATGACGAGTCTTACAAAGGAGTAGTGGGTTCTATATTTTACAGACTTTGTATCTCAGTCACTTCCATCATAAAACTCAGTCTCCTGTGTAAATGGCCAAATTCAGGGTTCTCCTATGTATCCATTTAAAATAATGTTCTATACTTGTTGATATGGAATGATGCCCACAAAAAAAGTGAAAAAAAGCTGGTAAAAATATTGTAATATGATACCCTTTGTATTACTGTATATGATATATATAATAATTTTTAAAGACTTGAAGGATATAAATCAAAATGTTAGCAGTGGTTACCTCTGTGTGGTGGGGTTTCAGTTGGATTTTATGGTTCTATTTATAATTTTCTAAAAGACCTGATTTTTAAACAATGAATGTATTTCTTTATATATATTCTTTATTTAATCAGAAAAAAAAAAAGCTATTTCCATTTGAGAAAAAAATTAAAGGGCAGGCATGGGAAGAGAAGCTTATGAAGGAGACCAGGGAAGAGTGGTCATAGAGGTAGAAAGAGAACCAGGAAACAATAGTGATCTGAAGGGGAGGGATAAAAAAATGTTTCCAAAAGGAGCAAAGAGGTGGTTAAAAGTGTTGAATACAGTAGAACGGTTAAATAAGATAAAGCCTGAGAGATGTCCACTAGATTTGACAGTTACCTAAATGAGAGCAGTCTCAGCAGAGCACTGGAGGTAGAACCCAGACTGCAGTGGATTGAGAATTAAATCAGAGGTGGAGAAGTGGAAACATTTAGTAGAGACTATTCTTTTGAGAAGCTTGCCTAAGAAAGGAATGTGGTAGCTAGAGGGCAATGCATTGTCAAAGAAGGATTTGTTTGATTTTTAGAGAGAAGAGACTTGGATATGTTTAACAGCTGGGGGAGGGGGGAAGGATTTCATAGAAAGTGAGAAGTTGAATATACAGGTGAGTAAAGGGATAAGGCTTAAAATCAAATAGCCCTAGGAGAATTGTGCAAGTTAAATTCACAATGAGGTGTAAATATACGGTCTTTTTTTAAAGAGAAAGATTTGATAGGGCAGAGAGAGGAGAGTAGACAGTACTGGGCTAATTAAATCCTTTGCAGTAATAGCACGATAACAGCTGTTACCAGCTGGCTTACACGCACACACCTTTTTGCTTTTCATGAAAGGCACAGAGCTTCACAGTTACCAAGTGATGTTGGGCAAGGCACAGGTATCCTCTGTACCTCAATTCTCACACCAAAAAAAAAAAAAGAACAGCCGAGTCAAATCTCTTGGCAAACAGGTGACATCAGAACTTGATGTGGCAATGCCCATTTTTCTCTCTATTGGGTTTCCTTGACCACATTCATTCTTTGCCAAAACAAGTCCAGAATGGGGAAAAAATGAGAGATAGAGATTTAGGATCCTTAAATTGGAAGGAATCTCATTAGTTCATCCTTCTGCCTACAGGCAATACTGTACCTTAATCAAACAGACACCTATCCATCTTCCTGCCCTTAAATTTTTCCAAAAGGAGATTGCACAATCTCCAACTCAGTGTTATGCAAGCAGACTGACAAGAACTTCTTTCTAGTTTCTATTCAAACTGTCCCGAGAAAATGGCAAATCAAAAGCGCCTACAATTTGGAGTGTTTGTGTTCTTGGGAGCAGGGGTCTGGAACTGAAGGGAGGGAGTAGGAGGGGGGTCTGAGTGTAAGAGAGGTAGTGCAGTGAGGAAAACCAGAGGGCAGAGCTCAGGACATACAGTCTATACTCCAGGGAACGTGGATCCAGAGGTTAGCTGCCTTTCTCTGGAGCCCCGCTCTCTTTCCACACACACCCATCCAGCTGCCTACTACCATTAGTGACTTCTCCGCTTCTTGCAGTTCATTTAGCCCTAATTTCACCTGGCGCCTCCCTAGGGATAGTCTCTAAACTAAATCCCTTCTGAAACTTGTCAGTTCCCTCCCTATGTTGATGAAGTTTTCCATTAAATACTTAACTTGTCTACTTAAGTTGGTGATTGTATTTATTTTACTAAAGTATTTCTGGATCGCCTAGGGGTAAAGGCAATCTGGGAAAAAGTGGTGTGGCCTAAGTTTGTGAGTGTCTATGCATGTTTATCAGGGGTTGC